CATGGGGAGGGCCTCAGTGAAGGGCACCACACAGCCCTGACCCTCTCTGGGGCTGAGCTGAGGAGGCTGTGCTTGGAGGTGCCTGAGGCGCAGCCGTGCCCGGCGTCCTGGGCTCCTGCAAGGAGAGCGGGTCAGCGGGAGGACGCACCCTGCCGCCGCAGAGCCAGGCGGGAGGAAACAGCTAATGAGAGCCCGGCGGCAGGCGGGTGGGGGGGGGGGGCCTCGGGGAGGAAAGGTGGAGGAGGTCTGCTTCTCAGGGATTCTGGAAGGACAGAGCCCAGCAAGATGGGGAGGGGCCGGAGGGCTGGAGGGAGTGCGGCAGCGGCTGAGGGGTGGGCCGAGAGGAGTGGACACGGAGGTTGGGAGCAGCTGAGGAAGCGGGGCTGGGGAGTTGGCGTCACCTTCCACCGCAGGGCCCTAGAGGCTGGCCTGGAATCGGGGCTTCACCCAGAGGCTGCGGAGACGCTTAGAGATCGGGCTCAGGGCCTTCCCGGTAGTGCTTTTATTCTTTCCAGACCGTTTTACTCAGGGAGGGGGTTCCAGAACAGCACAAACCAAATGCAAACGCAGGCTCCAGCATCTGATACAGCAGCACCTCCGGGAGAGAGCACGTATGTGGTGATGGCAAACGGAACGAGAGAAGCTATTTGAAATTGTAGGAAGAAGCTGAACATCATAGAAGGAGGAAAATTAGCCTTCTAGCCTGGAGGACACCAGGTCCGGCTAACTGAGCCTGCAACACGAAGTTAGCAGGGAAGGTGTGCTGGCCTCCCGGGGAGGGGCAGGGGCTGCCGCTCAGGGCCGGGCCACCCAGGACGCCGGAAGCCGGCAGGATGACTCGTTCTCTGTGGAGGAGACGCGGAGCCCCAGCCAGCTTGCCTGGGAGAGCTGCCATGGGCGGACTGGGCCCGGTGCAGTGGGGCTTCTCCTGGGGTCCCGCGGGGTCGTAGTGAGGCTGCGAGGCCCAGGCTGAGGACAGAGACGCAGCTCCAGGTGGACACGTGGGTGCAGAGAGAATAGCAAGAGCGGCCAGCCAGGCTGGGGGGCTGGGAGAGGGCGCCCCTGCCCTGCCCAAGGCTTCCCACTTCCAGAAAGGCCGCCCTGCTGGCCACTCCACAGCCCTGGGGTCTGGCTCCAGCTCCCGCTGCAGCCCACATTGCTTTTCCGGGGCCCCCGAGGTGGCCTGGGGGCAACCCTGGGGCTCCAGGGTCCTTGGCAGGGGTCCGGAGTGGCTAAGACAGGATGGCTAGTGGACGGGCAGCGTGATGCCAGTTCAGGCTGACAGAGGGCAGAGGGACCCAGTGGAGGGGCCCAGAGCAGGGACCCTGGCTGCCTGATCTGGGCTGGCAGAGATGCGGAGGAGGCCATGAGGAGAAACTGCGGACCCCGGCTTCTGCTGGGCCTCAGCTTCCCCACCTGTGGAGAGGCCATCTCAGAAAGGAGTGGGGGTGGAGGGACATAGGAACCCCCGCAGCTGCTGCCCACTGCCACGGAGGGCTGGGTGCTGGGCTGCCCAGCCTCCTTCCTGGAGGAAACAAGCGGATGTATTCCACCCATCCCAGCTGCTGCGGAAGGGGGGCACCAGCTGGGCGCTCGGCAGGCAGCGTGGGAGAGCCCCTAGGCCGTCTGGCAGGTCTGTGGGGGCCCCTCGCTGGAGGGGAACCAGAAAAGGGGAAGTCTCATAATTTGGGCACGAGAGGAGTCTCATAATTTGGGCCAGTGGGCAGCCAGGGCCCGGGGGCAGTGACTGGTCAGAAGTAGGGGTCATGAGTGGCCAAGGGGAGGGGACAGTGGGGTCAGGGTCAGTGGGGCCAGAAAGCACACTGTCCTCCCGTAGACAGTCCTCTGACCCTCAGCAGGAAGAGAAGCAGGCTTTATAGCAGCAGCCCTAGCGGCCGAACCAGCTTGAATCTTGAGGTCAGGAGCATCCCTTCAAGAAAGTCATTACTTTGAGCATCTTCTAGGAGGTAGGCCTGGAAGACAAGGAGTCCTGGGTGGGTCCCGGCATCCCCGAGCCTCGGATCAGGGGAGGCCTGGAGCATACTTCACGCCTTGGACCCAGAGTCACTGTCCCCCCCGCTCCCCCCCGCAGTGAGGCGGGCCTCTGGAATTCTCAAGTGGATGAGCTATTGGCTGTGCACCCCCCACCCCAAGGCACAGAGAGTCTGTGACACCCCTGGGCAGCCAGCGAAGTCACAGGCAACAAGACCTACCCTGCCAGCCCATGAAAGCCCACCCCGGCACAGGCCTGGGGGCCGAGTTTAGGCTGGGCCTGGGGGCAGCCGCACCCAACGTGCTGAGCATACCCCAGACGGCACCCTGCCCCACATCCTCACATCAGCTCTGCAGGTGGACTCAATTTTCTAGAAAGAGAGGCCCTGGGACTTGAGCCCCAGCCCATCCGGCTCAGAAGCCCCCCACCAAGCTGGGTGTGCAGGGTGAGCCCCTGGGGCAGCCCCGTCCCCCTCCCTCCCATCTCTGCCTTCCCAGCTCCAACTTCCCGGGAGGGAGGAGATGAGACCACGGCCTGAGGGGTCTGGATGGGCGGGACGGCGGGGGTGGGGGCAGGGAGCACCCTGTCTGGGACCCTGGGTTGGGGGACTCTCCACGGCAGCTGGAGGTCTGGCTCCCCCGCCCGCGCCAGCCCACTCCACTCCGCCCTCCCGCCTCTTTTCTTGGGACACAAAGACACAGAGCTGCATCTCAGATTACTGTGAGTGTTCAGCTTGCCTGTTCTACAATCATCCAATTACAGACAGGAAATTCAAATTAAAAGGAAAAAGCACCCAGAACACCCAGCTTTTGATGTGAGCAGGAGTAGGTCTCCTGGAGAAATGACTGACTCTCAGGCATCACCATGGTGCCCAGCCTCCTGTTCCTGCCGATTTCCTTCCCCATTCTTGTCAGCACTCTGAGTGTTTGAAAGGAATAAAGGAGCAGAACAGGGAGGAGGCGGCCTTCACCGAGGGTGTCACACCGGGCGCCGGCTCGGTTCTGCGTGCACGGTGACGGCGTTCCTGGCAGCAGGTGGTTCTCGCTGCTCCCGTGTGTTTCCGGCCTTCCTGGGCGCTCCCTGCGTCCCGGTAGGCGCCATCCTCTCAGCAGGGGCAGCCACGTCCGGCCCTCACCCCACCCAGCAGAGCAGCCCCTTCGGAGGGCAGGGCCGGCCCCGGCAGGCCACGGGTGCCCGTCACCAACCACGGTGGCTGGGAGGCGCTGGGGGTGCTTTACCACCAGCCTGGCCAGGGCGAACCTATACACCTGTGCCTGTACGAGGCGTTCCGTCAGACCCTCACCCACGAGAGATCCTGAGGGTCTGTATGAGTGTGACAGACTTTCTGTATCAGACGACTGGAACTAAAGATCAAGGGAGATAATCTGGGTGGGTAGGGGTCCATCAGTTGAAAGACCTGAAGAGCAGAGCTGAGCCTTCACCAAAGGAGACGTCCCATGCCCAAGGGGCCCCCTGCCCTGCAGACTCGGGGCTGGCCCTGCCGTCCCACCATCCCACCATCCCGTGAGCCGACTCCTTGACACAAATCCCTCCGTGTCCACCTCCCCAGGCCTGCTTCTCACTCCACGCTGCCTGGTGGACAGGTCCGAGCCTCCCCCACCCACAGGCCACCTGCCCATCTCCTGTAACTACCTGGTGTCCTCCACGAAGGCAGGTGTGTTACGGCTTATGTGCACAGTGTGGATCGCCTCCTGTCTAAGGTCTCGAGCCCGCAGTGGTTTCAGTGATGGCTTCTCTGTCTGCAGATGAGGAATGTGAGGTTCTTCACTTTCCAGTATTTACTGGAAAGACTGATGCTGAATCCCCAATCCTTTGCCCACCCTGACGCTGGGAAAGATTGAGGGCAGGAGGAGGAGGCGGCAGAGAGCATCACCACCTCAGGAGGTAGTGAAAGACAGGGGAGCCTGGCGTGCTGCAGTCCATGGGGCTGCAGAGTCGGACACACCTGAGTGACTGAGCAGTGTGAGGCTCAGAAAGATGGAGTTTAAGACCCTGCAGCCAAGACTCACCAAGGTCTCCCTGCAGCAGGGGCCTTAACCAGCTCTCATGGGTCCAAACCCTGAGAATCCCCTCTGGGCCCACAGGCCTCTGGGCAGGTGGAGTCCTGGCAGCAGACGCATGCCTGGGACCCCCACCAGCCCCCCTGCCCCCAGCACGTCCCACACCTTGTCGTCCACTCAGCATGAACGGCAGTGGCTCCAGTGTTCTGAGATGGTCAGTCCTACCCCTGGGTTCCAAGGTCCCGCCACCCTGAACGGCCTCCCTCTGCAGGCCCCCTCCAGCCAGCAGAGAAACAGCAGCACACACACGCCAGTAAGTTTCAGTGTTTTATTAACAAAGTCTTAGAAAAAGCGTCTGTCTTCAGGTGAGGTGGCAGGGTGGACATGACCTGGCCTGACATTCGAGGCTTGATCCACAGGGGGCAGGGACTTGACCACACCCCCCTGAGGACCTTGGGGCCTCCCTGTAGCCTGCGCCAGCCGAGGAGGGCAGGTTATGGCTTATGTGCAAAAATAAAATCTGGGGCGGGGGGCGGCGCTGGCAGGACACGGGACGGAGGGGCAGGCAGAGTTTCCTGAGGGAGCTGGTCTCCCAAGTCTGGGAGCCCCCAACCAGGCCTGCTTGGGCTGCAGACACAGGTGGCCGGCCAGCACCAGGGAGTTGGTGGCTGGGGCAGTGGGGGTCCAGCCCAGGGCTGAGGCAGGCCCTGGCAGGGAGCCTGAGTGAGCCCCAGGGGCACAGGCTTCCAGGCCTCCTGGGGCTGGGCCTGGGGCCACCGGGCGGGGCGGCCGTGGCGGAAGCTCTAGCGGCAGAGGATGGCCGCGCAGCGGGCAGGGGCTCCGGGGTGGGAGCCAGGCCAGGCCCAGGAAGGCGGCGGCCCTGGGGGCGGGCGGGCAGTGGGCAGCCAGCGGGGCGGGCATAGCGGCAGGCCCTGGCCCTCGCGCTGGCCCCTCTTCACCACCAGCTCTCTGCTGGGCCCCCTCCTCTGGTCTCAGGCTTCTCCTCTCGTGCAGGCAGCTTGCAGGGGGAGAGGAGAAGGGACAGTGCCGGGCACAGCAGCAAAGACTCTGTGGGAGCCTGGAGACCTGAAAGGAAGGAAGACACGGGTGTCAGGGACTCGGGCGGCCGGGGTGGGGCGGGGTCGCCCTTTCAGAGAGCGAGCCCCTGGGGTCCCAGGGGGCTGTTTCTCAGCTGGCCCAGAAGACTGGAGGCCTGGGGCGAGCTGGGGGGCCCCTTGTGAGGACAGCCGGGGGCAGGGTCCCCTGTGTACCTGTCGTCATTCTCCTGGCTCTGAGGGCCGGCTGCTGCCTCAGCCGGGCTGGAGGACTCAGGCCCCAGGGGACCTGCCGCCTGCTGTGGGTGAGTCATCGCGGGGCTCTGGCCCTCTCCACTGGTGCTGCGGGAGAGAAAACACAGGGCCCATTGAGAGCTGGGTCAGCAACCTCCGCCAGCCCTGCCCCCCACTCCAGCCCCCTCCCTGACCCCTGGGATCTCCCCTTCACACCACCCCAACCCCATCCCAGCAGCTGATTTTTAGGAGCGCCAGGGGCTCTGAGCCTCCAGCTTGCCTGGCAGGGTGGGCTTGGCCCTGGGCCCTCCCAGCCCTATGGTGCCCCCTGGCGGTGGTGCCAAGGGGCAGGGGCTCACCTGAGTGGCCAGGAGGCACCGGGTCGCCAGGTCTGTTGCTGCCACTGTGGCTGCTGCTGCTGCTGCTGCTGCGTCTTGAGCTTGGGCTCTCCTCCAGGGGGAGGGAGCCACATTGCCCGAGGCTGGCCAGCTGCCCCGGGGGGCAGCAGGGGTGCCAGCCGGTCACGGCGACTGCCAGGAGAAGTAGCTTCCCTGAAGCCCAGGCTGCGGGGGCACCAGTGGCCCCTGAACTTCTGCTCTGGGGTGTTCCTTGAGCTGGGTGCGCGCCGGCCCATGCCATTTGGACACTGGGTTTCTGAGTGCCCAGAGGGCCCAGGCATTGATCAGGATAAGGAAACTGTTATGGCCTGAGAGCATGGAGGGCGGGGTCGCTGACTCAGGCCAGTCCACCAGCGGGGAAGACAGACGCAGGGAGGGTGAGGGCTGGGTCTGCGAGGAAGGGGAGCCCCTTGGCTGTCTGGGGGACACTGCCCGCATCTGGGTCACGCGGGTCTGTTGGAGTCAGGCTAGGAGGCTGAGGTGAGCGTCCGGCTGCACGAGGAGACTAAGGGCTCCCCTGCAGGGGCGGGCCCACTCAAAAGTCCCGGTGGGCGAGGGCCACAGGCGGGCAGACGGGGCCGGCACCCTCTACTCGGGCTGAGTCCGGTCGCTGGCTACGGACTCGTTGGTGAGGGCGGGCGTGAGGGCCTCGGCCTCCTCCGCGGCGGGCTCAGCCGCCTGCTCCAGGCCATCCTGCACCTCCATGCCCTTCTGGATGAGCTGCTCCAGGGTCTTGGGCAGCGGGGGCCGCAGGAAGCGCTTGAGCTTGGGCTGCAGCGTGCCCACCACATACTGGATGATCTCCTCCTCCTCGGCGTCCACGTACAGCGTCTGGTACAGGTCCCGCTTGCGCCACAGGAACTGGTCCAGCGGCTCGCCCTGCTTCTGCGGCAGGTCCAGCTCCCTCTGGATGGCCTCCCGGGACAGCGTGCCCTCGCTGTACTGCAGAAACTCCTTCTTGAACTCCACCCAGTTCTTCACAGAGCCCTGCTTGTATTCCCACCACTTCTTGGCCGGCCCGTTCATGTGGTTCTGGATCTGAGACAGCCAGTACTCCTCGGAGCCGCCCACCTGGCGCAGATAGTCCTCCAGGTGGCGGAGGAACTCCCGCGGGTCCTCGAAGACCTGCGTGTCCACGCCGGGGCTCAGCTGCCCGTCCTCCCCCGGCGCCCAGGGCGGGTACTGCTGGGCTTCCACTTCCTCCTGCCCCGGCAGCTGGCCGGCGGCCGGCGGGGGAGTGATGGCATAGGGGCTGACAGTGTAGTCGTAGTTGTCCGCATCCTGGCAGTAGCTCTCGGGACCCCCGACGCCCACCGAGACGGTGTGGCGCGCTGGGTCGCTGCCCACCGGGTACTTGCCGCCCCCGGACTCCAGGCGGTCGGCCCACCTCTCCAGACGGTAGAAGACCTCCCGCCACACATGCATCTCCCGCTTGACCCAGCGCTCCAGGTTGGCGATGGTCTCCTGGCAGCGGCTCAGGCAGGCCTTGATGGACTTCTTCCAGCGCTGCGAGTCGCCAGTGGGCACGTACCCGTCCAGGTTGCTTTCCAGCTTGCCCACGGACCGGTGCAGCCCCTTCAGCTCCCGCTCCACTTGCTTGGACACCTCGGCGAGCAGGTGCCGGTGGGTCCTCCGCACGTGCTCCAGCATCTCCGCCCGGCACTTACCGATCTGCAGGATCACGTTGGGCTTGGCGGCCGGCCCGCCGCGGGGCGCGGGGTAGGCGTGGAGGCCGCCGGTCGTCCTGTGGTCCAACTCCATCGGCTCGCAGGTTACGGCGGGGCTCGCTCGGACAGCCGGGAGAGGGAAGCTGCAAAGTCCTCTTGGGGACGGCGAGGGGCTGCTGGGGGCCGGCTGCGCGGAGCTGCGAGGCGCGGCGGGCGGGTCCCGCGGAGGAGCTGCTGGTCCCGGCTGGTCGCGGCGGCGGCGGCGGAGCGGGAGGACTCAGCGCCCGAGCTCTGCGCTGGAGCTCGGCCGCCGGCTCTTTATGCCGCCAGCGCGGCCCGTGGGCGGCCCCGTCGCCGAGCCTCGGCTCCCATTGGCCCGGGCGCCGGCTCCCCGCCCGCGCCCCCAGCTTGCCGGCCCGCCTTCCCGCGCCCACGCGCGCTCCCGGCGGAGGGAGGACCCACCCCCTGCACACCCGGCGGCCCGGGGTGACTAATGCGCTCGCTCGCGCCGCCCCCTCCCCGACCCATTCAGCCCGCGGGGACCCAGGGATGGAGCTGGGCACGGACCACGACGCCCCCACTGCCAGCGCGGGGCAAGGAGGCCAGGTGAGCGCCCCGGGGCCCCCCACCCGGAGGTAAGGAGGAAGCCCCCTCTCCTGGGCCCCTCCCGGCTTGCTTCCTCCTGTGGCTGCCACCTCCTGCCTGCGGGGGGGTTGGGGGGGGGTGGAGGGCTGGGAGGGAGTGCTGGACGTTGCACCCCTGGGCCACCGGCGCAGGCCCTGACCTTGCCCAGCCGCGGTCTGCGGGACGTTCAGCCACAGGTGAGACCTGGCCAGCACCTCGGTACTCGGACCCTCTTTCCTTGATCTGAAGACCTCGAGGCATGTTCATGTGCACACACACCCCCAGGTGTCAGGTGTGAGTCCCCGACGTGGCCTGACCCCTCTGTCCCTGCCCGGGAGCCCCTGAATCCAGGCCTGGGGCTGGCCCTGCGTCCTGTGTGAGGGGGACACGCACCCAGGGCTTGGACCCCCAGCTCCCTTGGCCATGGAGTGGGTGCATGTGTGCCTGGCTGGCAGTAGCTGGGCACGACCACCTGGCACCTCAATCCCAGGTCTTTGCTGAGGCCAGGACTTTTTCACTCGGTGCCTCCAGGGACACCTGGAGGCTGCTCTCAGGGGGCAGAGGGTGGGGGAGACGGAGGGGTCCTGCCTCTCACCACAGGGTGTGACCCCTGAACCCCCAGAGCAGAAGCTCCAAGACTTCTAGGAGGATGGAGGTGGGGGGAGGGGGGAGGGTGCTGGCAGCCTGATGCGGCTGGAGGCAGAGAAGCAAAGCACCATATAAGGAACGGGGCTCCGGAAGCTGAGATTCCCTCGGGAGGGAGGTCCCTTCTGCCTCCCTGGCAACAGTATGGGGAAGGGACGTCCCCCTGGATGCCCAGGACAGATGGCTGTGGTCCCAGGTCCTCTGCAGTTCTGCGGGCACAGGTGGCACACACTCCCCGCAGCCACGCACCACTGCCTGTCCAGACGCCTTCCCTGCGGCCAGCGCCCTCACACACACACACTACACACTCACCCCTCCCCCACATAGACACTCATACCTCACACCCGTCCATCCTCCCCCCACCCAGTCATCCCTGTTCACACCTACCCCCTCATGCCAGGCCCACCCGCCCCCAGTGTCTTGCTCACACGCGCGAGGGCACACGGGCGCCCACACTGCAGTCCCCACTCTGGGCCCCACCGGGGCCCCTTCTGTCCTGGGAGCACCCCTCAGAGCCAAGCTGCCACCTCCTTTCCTGCTCTAAGCTTCCACCCTTAGCTGGGAGGAATGTCTCCCTGGCAGAAACTCCTCCCAAATCGCACTCCTGGCATTTCTAATTAAAGGCGAGTGGGTGAGCAGAGAGGGAGCAGGGTGGGGAGTGGGCCAGCTGCTGCCAGAACAGGAATCCCAGGGCCGGAGGCAGTAGGGTGTCTGTGTGCGTGAGCGGGGCTGGTTACCACAAGCCCGCTACCACATCTGAGTGCCCTGGTCAGGAGAGGCCTGCAGCGAGCCAGCCAGGCAGGGACCGCACGTGTGCACCTGTGTGCATGTGTGTGTGTGTGCGCACCTGCGTGTGGCGGGGGTGCCAGAGCCAGCACCTGAGTGGCCAGTAGGGATGGCTGGTCACCCCCTCGGTTTACAGAGGCCCTGTGGCCCCTGAGCCGTGGGCCGGCTGGGGCAGGAGGCTGGAGGTGGGCGTCCCCTCTGTGGGCGGGAGAGTGGGTCTCAGGGCAGCCTGGCAGGTGGGCTGGCCTCAACACCGGCCCTCGGTGGCCCCTCTGCCCGGCCAGCCTGGCCTGCTGTGGGTGTGGAGGGCGCTGCACAGAGGCTGCGCTCACAAGGCCGCTGTGACAGGTGACGGGCCGCAGCCACTGCTCCGGGAACACTTAATCGCTGCCCAATTATCGCCCCAGAAGCCCTCAGCACACCCCCATGCTGCAGCCTCAGGCTCCATTCTCCTGCCGCCTCCGCCTCCGGAGAGGAGGCCTGGCCAGCTCCGTGCCTGTGGGGGCTGCCCCCACCTCCCCTGCCGGTGGGGCTGAAGGCCTCCAGCCCCAGCCCACCCAGAGCAGGCCGGCTCAGGCTGAGGAGGGGCGGGCGCAGTGGGCAGCGGGGCTGTGCAAGGACGGAGCGGGGGCCCAGCCCCCCGCCCCCAGCTCTCAGAGCCTGGCTGGGTTGCTGCTCCTCAGGCCTGGCAGTTCCTGACGCCTCGCCTGCCCCAGATGGAAGCGGGTGAGCAGGAGAGGCTGGGTCTGCCCAGCCTGAGGGTCCGGGAGGCCCCCATTCCAGCCCTTCCAGGTTCTAATGCTCTGCCCCCAGGGCTCAGGGCTCCCAGCCCCCAGGGGCTGCTCTCCTGATGCTGAGACCCTTGTTTCAGCCCTGGGTCTCCCCAACCTCTCCTGCCAGCCCCCCACCCCGCCCCTGCTCCCCACAGCGCCTGCCTTCCCAAGGCTGCTCCGTGATCAGGTTGACCAGGTTCCATCCCCAGGAACCTCCCTCCTCGTCCCTCTTGCGGGGTCTGGGGTGCTTTCTGGGAGCCAGGCTTGGCCTACCTCTCCAGCAGGGCCCCAGCCGCCGCCCTGCAGACTCGCAGCCTCTCATCTGCCCCCAGCATGGCACAAGCACCTGCAGGCAGAGCTCACGCTGTCATGGACCCCCCAGGCCCAGGTCACTGCCTCCTGCGGCGGGGAGGGGGGCTATGGAGGGAAAGCCGGGGTGTTGCCCGGAGCAGCGGTCAGCCACCCGCTCTCACCTGGCCCTTCCTGCCCGGCTTTGGCCTGGGGCCCGGGTGCCCACCCTCCACGTGTACCTGCTGCCCGTCCTCCCACCCGGTGGAGCCCTCTGAGGTCTATGGCCTCCTCCTGCCTCCTGCGCCTGCCACCGTCCGTTTGGCATTTCCCGGCCCGGCTGTCCTGGTGCCGAGGATCTGCCCACCCTGGCCAGCGCTGCTGCCCCTCGCCCTGAACCAGGCCCGAACCCAGGTCTCTCGTGGTTGCTGCTTCCCTCTTGCTCAGCCAAGCACTTAGAGTCGAGAGCTGGGTGTGACAGCAGCCCCAGGACGGCGTCCGCATCCTCACAGCTGAGCCACGGAGCCCGAAGCCGACCTGGCGCAGAGCGTGCGCGTGCAATGAGTCGTGGAATGGGCGAGATAGTGGGCCCTTCTCCCTCCCTTTCTGGTTGGGAGACAGTTGGCGGTTGCCCAAGTGAGCCTTAACTGTCCGTCTGTCAACTGGGCTGACAGTGCCAGGGACTGGGGTCCAGTGAGGCTGAGTACTGGTCCTCTTGCCTGACCTGGTCCCTGCCCGAGGACGCCCCCCTCGTCCTGCCAAAAGCCTCCCATCGGAGCATCACTTCCAGGATCTGGGAGGTAGGAGGTGGTCGGGACCCCTCCCTGTGGCCCCTGGGGGGAGCCCCCTTGCCCCCAAGGCAGTGGTGGGGCCAGAACACATGCCTGGGCTCCATTGATGAGGCTGAACAGAGGCCCTGGGGACGGCTGGCTGCACGGCCTGGGGCTTGAGCCCAGTCAGCTCGGAGGGCACTGCTGGTCCAGCCATGCTCCTGAGCCCAGCTGTGGGGGGCTAGGCCACGGAGAGGCCGGGACAGGCAGGCGGGGGCCGTGGACACGGTGGGAGAGCTGAGCCAGGGAGGAGAGCGTCAAGCTGGGAAACGGAGGCACAGAGGAGGGCGAGCCGCTGGGGCTGGTGGTCTCCTGCCTGGGGAGACGCTCTCCCTCATCTCACGGAGGCCCTACAAGGCGGGGGCCCTCCCCGGGCCCTGAACCGGCAGGCGGCTCAGCTGGGGTCCCTCCACCCCATGTGCCTGCGGGGCCTGCTGCAGCGGAGCCTCTGGGAGGGCCCAGGAGGCCAGGGCAGGACCCTGGGGGATCGGGCACATGCTGACTCCAGACTGGAGTGACCCTGAGCAGGGGTTGGGCTCAGCCTGGGGGCCAGGGAGGCAGCAGCGCTGGACTGCGTGGGGGCGGGGGTGGGCTGAGCTCCCGGAGCTGCTGGAGCTTTTTCTTTCCTGTCCCGCCCCTGCTCCCGGGCTGCCTCTCCTCTCCTCTCTGGTTGGCAGGGTGTGTGCTGCGTTCTGTCCCCTGAACAGGCCACCTCACACACCAGACCCTCCTCCCTCTGCACCAAGGAAAGTTCTGCATTTTCCTGCCGATCCCGGCATGGCAGGGCCTCCCTGCACCCTCCAGGCCAAGGCCTGAGCAGGGGCCATGGGTAGGGCAGGGCAGGGCCTGTCCTCAAGGGACACTCTTTCCTCGCCACCCCCAGCCATTGAAGAAGGGAAGGCAAAGCCCCTAGCAAGAGGGTCCAGGGCTGCTCCAGGCCCCTCCGCAGGGAAGCCAGAGCCGGGACTGGCTGGTGAGAGGGTGAGGGGATGATCTGCTGGCTCTCCGAGGTGCCGGGAACACGGTGCGCATCCTGCGTGACTGGGGGTGGACCCCCTCTGCACCCCCGGCCTCAGTTTCCTCACCCGCAGAGTGGGTCCAGCCATCGCTGCCCTGCTCAGCTGTGAGGTGAGTCAGTCAATCAAGCA